CTTCATCTCATGAAATTGAAGTGAGTGGCACTGAGATTTGGACTCAGATTCCCGTGCCCAGGGGCTGTGCTGGGTAGGCTCCCTTGTAACCTGGGAGAGTCCTATCACAGAACTCTGTTTTAAGGGAGTCAGTATCGAAACAAGGCCTTACTGGTCACACTTCTTGGGTCCGCTTCTCAGTGAAGTAATGATACCTCGTGTCGCCTTCTGGACCCTCTCCCAGGCAGATTGGCAGATCGCACCTCTGCTGTGACTGTGACAGACCACCAAATTTCTGAAAACATCGCATTTACGACTCCAAACTTTGTTCCTCAAGATGCACAGTGTACTCACTGTGGTCCTTCGCTTGGGTGCTGCTGCAGCAAAGTGCCACAGACAGAGTGGCTTACACAACAGAAACTTACCTCTCACAGTTCTGGAGGCTGGAGATCGCCTTTGGCTCCTTCAGAGGGCTGTGAGGGAGAGTCGTTCCACAGCCCTCTCCTGGCCGCTGGGGTCTGCCGGCCATCTCTGGTGTTGCTTGACTTGTAGACACACCATCCTCCTCTCTGCTTTCATGTTCACAGGGCCTTCTCTGTGTCCAAATTTCCCCCCTTTTCAAGGACGCTGGTCATGTTGGATTAGGCACCCACTCTACTCCAGTATGACCTCATCTTAACTAAGTATGTTTTCAGTGACTGCTGCCAAATAAGGCCACTTTCCGAGGTGGTTAGGAATTTAACATGAATTTTGGAGCACACAGTTCAACGTGCAACACTCACCATGCATTACTGGTGTGCAGAGAACAGGACTAGCGTACCGTGTCTCACTGAGCGAGGCCGGCCACCCTGTCCGCGCCTGTCCTGAGTAACTGGGGACCAAGCAGGGGAGGAGCAGGTTCCCTGCAGATGGAGCAGCCGTGGTTAGAAAATGGTCAGGGCACGTGTGGTGGTGAAGGACGGGAAGTACTGTAAATACTGGTGATGGTAATAATGGGACTTGGGGGTGAAAAGTCTTCTGAATATGAAATCTAAGGTCAAATCCCAGCTATGACAGTTCTAAAGAAAGTGGACAAGCGTTTGTATTTGAAATTGGTCTCTTAAATTCTTGCTTGAGGAAGCCGTTGGCTGTGATCAGCTTTTTGTATTGGAATATGGACACTGAAATATGTATTTTTATGTTTGTGGAGGAGGGATATGTATATAGGTAGATATATACATGTATGAAGGTGCACATAAATACATATTTATTTTTACATGTGATTTCTTCGTACTTCTTGAGTGTGTGTTGATCTGTAATTGCTCCACTTGCTGTGACGGCATTTGGTCAAGTCCATTTTTAATTTGCTGTCTTGCAGTTGCAGCACGCCTGAGGATGAGCAGCACTTTTAGTTATCTGCAAGGCTTTGGTTTAAGAGAAATTTCTGAGTCACATTAAGAAGTCCCTGAATTATGGAGTCGGTATATAATTTAACAACAGCTATTGAAATTCATGTGGATTTTGGGTGTATGGGGGGATTGGTTGGACATGATTAGAGTTTTTCAGTGGGTTTTTTGTTTGTTTGTTTGTTTTGTTTTTCTTTTGTTTTTTGGTAGCCTCAAATCCTCCTTTCTGTCCCGTAAGATACAAAGGTTATTTGTGAAGTAGCATCTTTTCCCTCAACTACCACGGCATAGGGAGACCATTTTTTTTAAAATAAGCTTTTCATTTTAGAATAGTGTTAGATTTACAGCAAAGTTGCACAGACAGTATAGAGACTTCCTGTGTACCTGTACCTGGCTCCCCTCTTGCTAACGTCTTAAGTCACTGTGGCTCACTTTGTCACTACATTCCCATTAGCTGAGCTCCACACTCAGTCAGATTTCACTAGCTTTTCCCCAGTGCCCTTTTTCTGTTCCAGGGTCCCATTCAGGATGCAGATTACCTTAGTTGTCATGTCTCCTTAGACTCTTCCGGGCTATGACAGTTCGTCAAAGTCTCATTGTTTTTGATGACCTTGACAGTTTTGAGAAGTACTGATTAGATATTTTGGTAGAATGGACCTCAAGTTTTGGTTTTTCTGATGTCTTCCTCATGCTTAGGTTGGGGTTGTGGCATTTTGAGGGGAAGATGGTGAAGGTCATTCTCATCACGGTCAAGGCTACATTCTACCCACGGGACTTCTTTGATTACCTTAATCTTGATCATCTGCATAAAAAGGCAGGTTTTTTTTTTTATCACTGTACGGTTACCCTCCCCCCTGTACTCTGCTCTGAGGAAGCAGGCCATCTTCCAGGGGATGTCCTCTCCTGAAGAGGAGACTTTCTAGGCATTTGTGATTTGCTAAATTATAACCAGTCATCTCTGCATTTAAAAAAAGAAAAAAGCTTCACCCCTTTATCTGTATGGTTTCTTTCTTTCTTTAACTGAAGCCTTACCCATGATGAGTTCCTGGGTTAGAAAGGCTTTGCAGGGTGGTAAGGATTTCAGGGCTGCGTTTTCTGACTCCTCAGTCTGTCTAACATGACATCACACATCTGGTGTGGTCCCCTGCCCAGAACAGATACCTCACAGCTGAAATGAGGTGTGGGGAAGCACCAGGTGACGGGAACCCCAGGAAACCCCAGCTCTGAATAATCTAGGATTTCTGGGTAGATAAGGCTTTATTCCTTTAAATATCTCAATTTTGAATATTTTGACCATTTTATATGGTAGTCCCGAAATATTATGTAGCTTCCTGTCTTTGTAATGAGTGTGATAAGATGACGTTGTCCGAGTTTATGACCTGCAGACAGCTTGTTACTCCTTCATGGGTGTCGGGACTGTCATTGACTTTTGATCTGCTCGTATTGTATTTTTATTCTCTTCTCCGTCAGCTGTCGTTTCTTGCTGCTGTCAGTTTGCCTCTCCAGCAGTTTCCTTTCTGATTTGCTTTTTGTAACCTTCTGTGAATTTAGAGCCCAGACAACCAAACTTGCTAGTCCTGTACACAGAGTTTTCAGAACAGCGGAGATGAGATCTGAGCGTGGGGAGCTCAGCAGGTGGAAGTGTGAGTGTACTGGTTGTGGTGCGACTGCCCGGAGTTTAGTTTTGCTTCCTTGCTGGTTTTCCCCTGGGGTAGAACGGCAAGATTGCCAAGTTGCATCACAGTTGTTTGAAACAGGGCAGTTGTAGGTAAACTGCTTTTCACAGTGTGCCCTGAACACATTCTAGGTGACTACGGACCCATGAGCCAAATGCATAAAAACAATGCATACAGATTTTGAGCCAGGATTTAATGTTTACTGAGAATTTAAGATACATAGTCATAAGTAGTGATTGGTTTTCAACATAGTTCCTAAAGTGCTTAGGTATACATCATACTTACTGCTTTTGAAAGTGACCATATGGAAGCATAATACTTGTATTAAAAATTTAAGTAACATAGCAACCGAAGGTGGAATACATAATTTAAGATGCTTGAATATTTATTTTAAACTTACTTTGTTGGCAGTGTAGGAAAACCCTCTCCATAGTGTTAGGATTACAGATGGCACTCCCATTCTGATGAGACCTTGGTGTTGGACTGCACATGGTTAATCAGCGCACATTTGTAGAGGAGATTAAGGTGCCAGAGTCCTTCAGACCAGGACAAAGATAAATAAAGGGCAGACTAACTGGAACAGTCATGTTGTTAAAAGATTCCTTTTAATGTTTCAGTCAATTCCCATTCTAATTGTTTCTTGAGAGGATGCCTTGTGCTGAGGTACTAAGGCAGAGTTAGGGCCGGGCTGGTGGTCAAGGCACCACCATAGAGTCAGGACTCAGATTGCTCTGGAAAATTATGAGTAGTTATTTTCTGTGGGTGGTTTTAGAGAGAACAAAACAAATTAGAGGGGAGGTTAAAGGGGTGGCTTTTAAGAGTAGTGGTGTCGGTTCATTCAGAATCAGACCGCATCCTGATGGAACTTCCTCTAGTTTGAGAAGGCAGAAAGAAAAGCACTATGGAGTTTGAAGAACCCAGTGAGATTAAATTCTTGTATTCAACAGTGATTTTGACTTTTTGGTAGATCCTTATTGGGCTCAAGTTGTTAGAATAGACCAACTCCAGCAATTTATGTGAAGCTTGGTAATCTAATTCCCAGCTCTCCTTGACTTAATTCGTTGACTTTCCCAATTGTGATAAATATGTGTAAGAATGCAGATTCAGCCTTATGTCTGTCCATTTCACAGTGGTGATGTGCTTGGCATCATTTTATTGCGTTTCTTTGAACTCTTAAGAAGTTATTCTTGAGAATAAGAGCTTAATATTTCTGTGTTGATGATAGCATTAATTCTGGATTTGTTTCTGTTTTTTAAACTTCATGTTTTGGACAGCAGGAGTTCTAGATTTGTTTCTGTTTTTCTAGTCACTGCTACAGATTATTTTAAATTTTACTGTTTGTACTTGTGAGCAATGCCATCATCAAAGTTAGGTGTTTACTGTTTCAACATTTTTTTCTGAATTATAAAAGTAATACACACTTTTAAACAACATTTGGGAAATGTTTTTAAATAGCATCTGAAAAATAAGAGAAAGGTATTATGAAAAAATACCTCCAGCGTCCCTAACTGTATAACCACTTGTTAATATTTTCCTGTATTTGCTCCTACTTTTTTGTCGTATTTTTGCATAACCGATACATTATTAAACTGTGTTCTGTTTTTAAAATTAACATAGATTATCAGCATTTCTTAGATGATACAGATTCTTTGAAAACATGTGTATTATTTCAGTTGGCAAAAATGTTTGTCATGTGAATGTGTTAAAATTTGTGAAATCGTCTTTTGTATTGCGGGCTCTTAGTTTATTTCTAATTTTCACCATTAAAAGCAATTCAGTGAATGTCTTTGGGGATGATTTTTTTCCTGTTATTCATATCATTTCTTTTGAATAATAGTTGTAGCTATTGACTTAATGGGGCAAACAGTAGAAATGTTTTTCTCTCTTTACTGACCTCTGCTGAAAATAAATGCCATTGTATAACGAGTGCTAAATCATTCTTTTTTCTTTTTTCCTCAGCTCACTACCCTGGGAAATCTTACACCTTCAAGCACTGTGTTTTTCTGCTGTGATATGCAGGAAAGGTTCAGACCAGCCATTAAGTATTTTGGAGATATTATTAGTGTGGGACAGAGATTGGTATGCTTGTTTGTTTATTTTTTTCCAATTTGCATGATATAGTTTCATACACACACATATGTATATTGCTAATTATCTTTGTGGGGTTTTTTTTCCCCCCACAGTTGCAAGGGGCCCGGATTTTAGGAATTCCAGTTATTGTAACAGAACAGTACCCTAAAGGTCTTGGAAGCACCGTTCAAGAAATTGATTTAACAGGTGTAAAACTGGTACTTCCAAAGACCAAGTTTTCAATGGTATTGCCAGAAGTGGAAGCAGCATTAGCAGAGATTCCTGGAGTCAGGAGTGTTGTGTTGTTTGGAGTAGAAGTAAGTACCTCTTGCTATGTTTTGCACACAATATTGTTTGTAGAAAACTTGTTATTTCCAGAATGTAATTTTGTATGCAGACGACCATGTAAGTGATAATGGTGGAAAATAGCCACCATTTATTAAGTGTTTACTATTTGCATTGCGCTGATCTAAACACTTTATATCAGTTCGTCGAACTCTCACAGCAATCCTCTGAACTAGATACTTTTGGTCTCAGCATGTTACAGATTAGCAAACTAAAACCCAGATGCTATATATGTCTTCCCCAAGGTCATATAGCTAGCTCAGGAATGGAGCTGCATGCGGACCTGATTGATTCTTGTGCCTTTACTTTGAACCACTATACTTTTGGAACACGTTTTCACTGAAGGCATTATGTTCATGTAGGATTTCACCTTGGTCATATTTTTGTAGAAAAACCTTAGAAGTCGTATGTAGTTCATTGTCATTCACGTTTGAATCATGTACGTATTTTTTTAAAGGAAAAAAATGCTCATGGATCCTAATGCGGATTGAAATGATTTTTGTTTGTTTGTTTTTTGCACATGTATAAATAGAGTGTAAGTATTTAATCATAGCTTTGAACTAAAATTTTTAAATTGTGAAAAAAACTAAAAACAATGAAATCCAAGTAGTAATGTTAATTTAAGATACCTATGATGTTTTGATAGTAGGTTTTAGTTTTCTTTTTCCAATTTTTTAAATCATTTTTTTCCCTTCCAGTTTGATTGAGCTGTCATTGACATACACTGTATACTTTTTGGGGGGAGGCACTGGGGATTGAACCCAGGACCTTGTGCTTGGTAGGTACTGTGCCACTGAGCTATACCCTCCCCACCGGTGGTAGGTTTTATAGTAGTAAGTTTTACTAGGAGAAAAACATAGCCTCAAGTTTAAATGTATGTAAAATATTTCTGTATTTTGACTTAAATATAATATAAAGGAAGCTCGTTTGCACAAATATGCCATGCCAAGTGCTGTTGCTGACTTTTGTGCTTTTCTTGCTTGTTCATCGTTGTTAGACCTCATGCCTAATCACAGTCATCTTTAGCAGTCCTTCACTGCTCATTTTAATGAGTTGTCAGTTGATAATTCTCCATAGTTCTCTGGCCATGTGAAGATAAGGTTGGCATCGTGGCATTATTAAAATCTGCTTTCATTGGTTGTATAATCCACTTATCGTTGGAACATGTTTTTACTCTTTATTCTCTGCTAATGAATTGTTTCAAGGTAGTACTTACAAAGATGGCATCTGTGTAATGCGTTTGCTGGTGATGTGTACTGGGTATTTTTTGCCTGTGTTACAGGTTATTTTTAACCTGTCCTACCTTCAGTACTGGGTGCCTTGTAACGACTCAGTTCCCCCACCACTGTCTCTGCCTGCAGTACTACAGACTCATCCTTTGTGCTAGGCACTCGGTGTGAATAGAGAAATAAACTCAACTGCGAGTGGCACCCAGACCAAGTGGGAGTAGTCAGCCGTATGAAGGTCCTCCAGATGACACAGATGAAAATCTTTTAAGAAAATCCTCTCAGGGCTCTAAGACTATGTTCAAGGTTTCCAGTTCAAAGAGCACTGATGTAATCCAGTTCCTGACTTTGGAGAGGAACCCAGAGCCAGAGATGCTGTTTATGCTCGAGATCACTAGTGAGTTAGAGGCAAGACTAGATGTCGGACAAGGTCATCAGACCTGTAGTGCCCTTTCTGCTTTTCCATGTTATTGCACATTTGGCAGGTATTTTTAGTTTACCACATTGTTACATACGATCTTTCGCTTTCCTTCTAGACCCACGTGTGCATCCAACAAACAGCTCTGGAGCTAGTTGGCCGAGGGATTGAGGTTCATATTGTTGCTGACGCCACGTCATCAAGAAGCATGATGGACAGGATGTTTGCTCTTGAGGTAATTGTCCTGCTGTAAAAGAAATCATTTACCACGTTCTCCAGATAAATGTGAAGGGTATTGAATATGTAGCAGCAGTGAAAAATGTAGCTCTTAAATTTCAGCTTGGTCTGACAATTTCAGACTCACTGGTTGCAGGGTCTCTACTCTGCACCGACCGACCTCTGGGGTCTCACCACCGTATCCTGTTTTACATCTTCTCTGTCTTTGGATCCAGATTTCTAGTGATGCCAAACGCTCCTTTACATCTTTTGTCATAACTTTGCTATAGTTTTACACGTAGACTAAGAGGTATTCCAGTAAGCTTAACCTGAACTATTTAGAGATTTGCAAATTAAAAACGGTTTAGTTAGGCTTAACTCAGCCAAGATCTAGCCAAAACCTAAGGCGTGGTGGGCCTAGGCCTGGTTCAGCCTTATGTTCGTCCTCTTCAGACTTGCATTTCTGGGAATAGGAGGTGAGTCACTGACTGTGGACACCGCACGTGCAGTGTTCCCTGACTCTCTGGGCTGGAGTGTCAGGACAGACCCTGGAGTCAGGGAGTTGTGATTTTCATCCACGTTGTGTAACGGTGTCTTCCTTAAACATTTCCTACTCAAAAACTGTTGAATCGCAAACTACCACGTCATCCTTTGAAACCTCCACTCCATGTGATGGATCTCTTTCTTTCATGTTTCGTTCTAATTCTAATTCTATAATTGTATTAGAGTAGTGTAGGTCTGGATTGAATTGCTGGGTTTTCAACTGGTGATTGAACATGGGAATTGTGGATTTTTTTTGGAGACCTCCAGTGTTCCATGCACAAGCTGACCTATAAGCCACTTTCTCAATAGCATTGCTGTCATCTCTTTAGCCTAAAATGTTCCTGGGGTGGGGAGTTGGGCAAATAAGAAAGAGAGGAAAGAAAGAAGGTGAAGTCAATGGGCAGGGCTGATGCCGAAGCAGGTGGGCAGCTGGCAGCAGCAGTAGTTTTAAGGCCCTGGTTGCACATCCCTTCTCTTACTCCTGAAGAAGTGAGTCCTATTTTGGGACTGTAGATGGAGATGGTTTTATTTCTTTTGCTCAGCTATTTTCAAGTTTATTTGAACTGTTGGGTCCTCTGGTTAGTTAGGTATGAAGTGTTGCTTCTTCCCATCTAAGCAAAGCTCTTTCGGCTGTCCTTACAGTCATGAGCTATCAGCTTCCATTTTTCAAATCTCTTTGGTAATCTTGGTTTAAACACTGCCACTGTCAGATCCTTATCACCTCGGCAAGCAGCTCTTTTCCTGTGAATGACCTTTATGGTATTGCTGAGGTCCTGTGTTTCCAAGGAAATGAAAAACCAAAAACATACAAAACCAAAAATCTTTGCTTGTTTCAAGAGATTTCAAGAACTTCTGTGCTGCATTCATTTAAGTTTTTTAGCCATGTCCTTATGCCATTTACTACAGAAATTTTTGATGGCAGTTCTGTCTTCTAACAAAACTCAGAATAAAAAGTCAGCCATTTACCCTCTGAACCTTATTCTTTTAGAGGTAGCCTGTCATCTCACCAACTAGGAGTCCAGACCAGGCAGGGATAACAGGGGTTTGAGTATAGGTTCTGGCATTTTGTAAATGTGTGTCCCTGGATAGATTATCTAATGTCTGTTCCTCAGATTTCTCATTGGTGATGTGAAATAAAATACATATTTTACGGTAAGACAAAAAAATTTAAACATGGAAAAGTTTTCACTGCCCTTTGGCCTCCTCTCTCCCTCCGCTGTGCACTGTGTCTGCATAAAGCATCCACCAGACCTCCCCTGTCGGCAGCCACACCTGCTCAGCCATAGAGCAACATCCTCCTACCGCCAACCAGACAGCTCCTTAGAAGATAACGTTCCTTCTTGAATTTTAAGGGGCCACAGTATCACTTAGATCTGGATTGTGTAACCTGTCAATGATACATCATTTAATCAACAGCCCTCTGTCTCAAAAAACTTACGTAACTGTGCTTTGACTTCTAACAGGTGAAGCTATTCCCAGAGCTTTCCGTGGGGCTGCACTTGGGTTATAATCCTCAGTTTGGCTCGAATAAAATTTTCCATTTCTTTCTTCTATCAACTGATTACTTTTTCCTCAGCCGTGAAATAGAAATAATAATAGTCACTACGTGGGAGGATTTTTGTGAGGATTAAATGAAATAATGTCGATAACACTTAGTACAGTGACAGACACGGTAAGCACTCAGATATTAGCCGTTGGCTTTTATTTTACTGTAGCTCTGATTTGTTGCTGTCTTCATGAGGTTTGTCTGGTTAGACAGGTCTGGCATCTGTTAGCTTCCAAGGCCTGGAAGGGACGAGTCCTGAGAAGCTGTGAGGAGGGAAGGAAAGAATATGGTCTGGGGTGGATGGGGAAGAGCCAGCAGCAGCCGGCATCGCCTGGGGTTAAAGTGCAGAGGTCGAGAGGGAGGAGGGACCAGGTCGGGTGGTGATGGCGGAGATGTGCCACGTGTCGGATTTCTCCTCTCAGCCTTCATTTGCTCTGGAGGCGTTTCAGTTAGTCCCTAAATCCTTGGGAGAAATGTGAACGTTTTTCTTTTATTCTGTGACTGTGGAAGTGGAATAGCAGCCCGTCAGCTCCCCTCTCCCCTTCCCTGCAGACACGCCCACGTCAGATAACTCCTGACACCCCGCCCCACCCCCACTGCAGTGCCTGTTGCACTGAGGACGTTCGTAGCTGCCAAAGTCAGAGACGTCTCTGCCGGGATCTGCGGTGTGTGCTTTCTTCCACAGGGCTTTCTGAGCACCTACCCTCTGCCAGGCATTCTTTCAACCTACAACTGTAGAGCAAATGTGGAATAAAATAGAGTGAAAGCCCCTCGATGTCCTTGTCCTTCTGGGGAGTTGGGTTTAGGCTTTTTGCCCCTGCCCTCCCTGAGGCTGTCATGGCTTTGTGCTCTTGCATTTTCAGGTGTGTGGGTCAGAGTAACCTTCTTTCCCTTGGCCTAGTTGGACTGGTTTTGCAAGTGTAAGGGAGGAACTCGGGAAGCCTACTGAGCCATGAACCCATTAGCATTAAACAGCTGGAGTTTTAACGGGCCCTTTTTAAGCCGGGAAGTAAAGTGAGCTTGGTGCCGGCGCTGCAGGTGTCCCCTAGCTCAGGGTGGTGGGCAGGGGCCTGCTGGGGTCCGGGAAGGGGCCCGCTGTTCCCTTCCTGCTCAGGTACCCTCGCAGCCTGGGGCTTGGCAGGCGCCGAGGGAAGGTCTGTGAGCCCGATGTGGAAGCTCTGCATTCTTAGCAAAGGCGTGAACCGCACCTTCCCCTGACGCAGCTTCTTGGCTTGCTGAGCTTTGAATGCAATCAGTATTGGCCATATCTGAGTCTGGAGCGAAGTCATTCTGTGCAGGTTTCAGTTTACTGAAGCGCGTTTCTGTGCCTCGAGCATCCCAGCTTGCCCCTTCCGGGCTGTAGGGGCTCAGCCTCCCCGAGGACTGTTGGCTCAGGCTGGACCCAGCTCTGGTCAGCAGAGCACTGTGGAAGGCTGGCTGTCGTATTTCTTCCTCAGTCCTGGGAGTGGTTTTCTGTCCTTCCTGCCTCTCCAGGGAGCTAGAAAGATTACTGAGAACTGACCTTGTGAGCACTGTGGAGTGTATAAAGCACTGTCACAGACGTGTGATTCAGGCTCGCGCTGAATCACTGGCAGCCCGTTGAGTCAACAGGGAGCAGTGAGGCCAGCAGGGCAGCTGGCTGGTGAAGGGCTTGCGTGACTGGACACTCACCCAGCTAAGCTCCAGCTGGTCTTATTTATTCCCCACCCTCCATCTGAACCAGGCACACAGTCCTTTGAGATTCCTCAGGGTTTTGATACGATAGTCAGGAATTGACTGAAAAGCAAGGAGGAGGAAATTGGTCTCCAGAAGTCTCTGTCCCAGCGTACAGGACACTAGCAGCCCTGCTTCCTCTTTCCTGTGACACTTTCTGCTTGTTTTTTTCATTTCTCAAGACTTCTGGTCAGCTGCTCTGCACACTCTCCTGTACGGGTGGTTGAAGGCCAACCTTGCTTTCTGATGAGTAGGCTGCGGCTCAGACTCCCTTCCACTCATAAAAAGGAGGAGTCTGCCAGGGGGAGGGTTGGGCCTGTGGACCCACAGCCATCTGAAGGGTTTACTCTCACTGCGACGGATGTCCTGGCTTTTCCAGTGACTCTTTCTTCATGACAGTCTGCTCTGGGTCTTTTCCTCTGACTTGCACAGGAATTGTCTCACCACCTCATCTTCAATGGCTCTTCCACTGGGTGTTTCTTGAGACAACAGTTGGCCTGTTTTTTTCCCGAGGGTTTCTGTTAATAAGTACGTGCAGGAAATGAGTCTCTACCCTAGAATCTCTTCTCCTCCACCCTCCCACCCCGCTTTTCTCCGCTTTCTCTTCTTTGCCCTCCTCCCTCCCTTTTTCCTCTTCCTCCCTCCTCTGCACTCACCCCCGCCAAGATTTCTGTCCTTAGCTGTATTATGATTCCTCAGGAGCAATTACTCTCTGCAGCCTTAAATTTTATATTCTTGTTTAGTGATTCTAAACTGTGATGGTGGCAATGGTGGTGGTTCCATTATCAGCCGGGGGCCCGTTCTTAAACCTCACATGAGGCTCCTCTAGTGCCTGCATTTCTTACTCGTGGGACGGCATGCTCATTTTATGTCAGATGTTTGGAGACAGAAAAAAAAAGAAATGAAGAATCATTGTACAGTCCTTAGCTTTGTTTTCACGTCTGTCCCCGGCACATAGAAGTCATAATATCGGCTCCCTGTTTTCTTTTACTTGTTTCTAGTCCTTACTGCTAAGACTGAGAATTATCATGATGGGTTTGTGGCTTGGCTAGTTTGAGATCTCTGCTCATCCCTGAATTTGATGGTGTGGCTGAAGACCATGGTTTTGACAGAGGACACTAACTCTTGTCTCCTGGCATGCTTTTTGCTGTTTTAATATAATGTTCTTTCTCATGGGTATTTCCTGATTTGTCTTTATCCTTTTCCTTTTAAGCGTCTTGCTCGAACTGGGATCATAGTGACCACGAGTGAGGCTGTTCTGCTGCAGCTGGTGGCTGACAAAGACCATCCAAAATTCAAGGAGATTCAGAATCTGATTAAGGCGAGTGCTCCAGAGTCGGGTCTGCTTTCCAAAGTGTAAGATGTCTGAAGGACCAGTGTGCTCCTCACCATCAGGGGACAGGGCTGTAAGCTCTTGTCTCCACTAGAATTAAAACGTTAAATAAAAAATTGGCTCCTTTTTTGCGCCTCTTAGTAAGACTTAACCGTTAGACTGTTTGGGTACCAGCACTTAGTTACAAACGTCAAAGGCTTCAGGTGCTGCTTGTCTTCTTTTTATGTTCATGTGCTTTTATTTATTAAAACAATTATAATGGAGGTGCCTGTTTTGTCTAAACCGTATACAGTGATCATACTTTCAAAAGTGCACATTCTTGTGAAGTTTTCTTAACTTGTGCATAGTGGAGACAAAGATCTACCAGTACTGGTTTGACTTTCGTATTATTGTAAGATTATATGTTATAATTTAATGTGGATTCAGTGCTTTTACTTTACAGGTTGATTGAAATAGGATTATTATATGAGAAGTTAAAAGCAGGGCTGTGGATCGTGTTACCCCTTCCCTCACAATGCAGTCAACTTATTCACTGAGTAAGTTGCCTTGATTTAACCAGATGAAGTTATGTTGCATAATTATATAATTTCTTAATTATGCTAATTTTCTTATTCTGGTCACCATCACTGATTTTCTATTAATGTTTTCTTTTTTAGCTGAATCTTTTACCTAGAAAGATTTGTTGGGCCATTGCTTGTTTTAATTTTGCTGTTTTAACAAATGGGATGATTTGCAGTGTCATATAATTGGTGGAGGGCTGTTTTAAGATCTTTGAAATATTCCTTTAGCTGAATACCTTTACAGTTATCTTGAATACGTCTTCTGATATGCACAAGATTTATGAAAAGATAAAGGCTGGATAAAATGTAGTTTTAAGAAACCCATATTCTTGTCTGATATTTTTTCCACCTACCCTCCAATTGTTAATGCAAAAAGCCTCAGTATGATTTGGTAGCATTCATTTTGTAGTCATTACTGCCCTTCAATAAATTTATTTTCATTAAATACTTATAGGGGTTTAAAACTTCTTTTTAAACATTATGTGAAATATGGAACATGGCTGTCTTTTATATTAAAGTAATTAAAGAAAATGTATCATGTGGATGAATTTATTTCGCCCCCCTCTAGGGATGCTGCTATTGATTGAAAGGCATAAACTTTTTGACATTTGTAGTCTTGCAACTCATGAGAAATTTTCAAAGACAGAAGGAGGCAAATGGATTGTACTGAAGGATCTTCATCATTTAAGAGCAGTAGAAATGTGTATTTTGTCAGTGTTAACAACCAACCAAGCATTCTTCTTATCGGTATATTTAAATATTTTTTTCCAGCTGACTTGCTTGTCAAAAAAAGAAAAATCAGAGTTTTTCACGTTTTTTATATGCTTAACCTAGTGTTTCTCAGTTTCTAATATGAATGCAGGTCACCTGGGGTTCTTGTTAATATGCTGACTTGATTCAATTGGTGTGGGTTCTGTGCCTGGTATTTTTCATTTCCAAAAGAAAGCCAGTTTCCACCAGGGCTAGCTGCTTGGAAGGGATGATATCTTGAGTAGCAAGGATTTAACTAACATCACCTGTTTTCCTCCATGGTGCCGAGGCCCTTCGTTTTCACAGCTGAAAGAATTCAGTGACCTTGAATCAGTTTCTTACAGCTACCGTAACAAATTACCATGAACACTGTGGTTTAAAACATCACAAATTTATTATCTTGCAGTTCAGTAAGTTGCAAATCTGAACTGGGTCTCACTGGGCTAAGATCTGTCTTTCCCACTAGATTCTAAGTTCCTAGAGGGTAGGACCTGTGCATTTATTCTATATTGACTCTGGAAACTGATTTTGAGAACCTACGAAGTTCTAAACATTGTACTGTGTGCTGAGTATAAAAAGATGCCCCTAGGAGGCTTCGAGTCTGGTACAAAATCAGATATATTGTGACCTCTCAGTAAATGTGAATTGAATTATGTCAAAGGTTCAGGAATGTCAGTACAACATTAAAGTTCAGAGAAGTATACTTGTGAAGTCTGCCTTCTCCCCTTTTTTTGCAGATCATGCAAAACAAGGTGACAAGGTCTTTATTATTATAGGAAACCTGAATTGATTTTAATACATTATGCTTTGAATTTGGAAATGCCTATAATTTTGTAGGATAACAAAATTCTTTTTAACTGATGGGAATAAAGACCTTGAGGACATAAGCAAAAGAATATTCCAGTGTGTTGAACTGTGGGGGTGGGTTTCACTCACTGAAACGCTAAAACATCTGCAGAAGCTTTATCTAAAATTAAAAGTAAAAAGGATGATAACCTGTTCTAACCAGGAAACCAAATACCCTGTCACGTCCATTTAAATGCCACGTTTCTCTGATTAGGAGGAATATTTTCTCTTTTAAAAAGTTGGTATTTGGGTCAAAATGACTGTAGATCTGGGTGGACCTTTAAAGATCATGATCTCAAAGGTCCGTTTCAGCTGTGAAATTCTAAAACGGTTTTATTTCACAAGTGGGGCTAGTGAGGCCCAGAGACAGCTGCTGTTTGTCAAGTTGCAGAGGTGACGGAAGGCACAGCAGGAGAACCGGATGACTCAACACGCTGACGTGTGTGTGCTTCCAGACGTGAGTAGATAACGCCGAAAATTATCAGAAGGGAGGGGGAAGAGCCAGAGAGACGACCCATTTTGGAATCTGCAGATCAGTATACTGTCGTGTTTTGTTTTGAATTCACTTGTGTATTTGATTTCTTTATTTTCTGACTGAAGTATAGTTAGTTTACAGTATTGTGTTAATTCCTGGTGTACAGCATAACGTTTCAGTCATACGTGTGCGTGCGTGTATTCGTTTTCATATCCTTTGTCACTGTGGATTACTATAAGATACCGAATCTGGGTCCCTGTCAGCACCCTCTCTTACGTGAGCAGAGCGGAAGGGCTGCTCCCAGCGTGGGGAGCTCTCCCTGTGCCACACCGTCCATCCATCTAGTCGTACTTCTTTCCAGATGGTCTTCTAACTAATTCAGGAGAATGGCTGATAATATGAAAACTACCGTTATTTTTCACCGTGAAATAACTACAGATCAGTGTTCTGACATCACTAATGCTTCCTTATTCCTCCACAGAGCATTGTTACTGTTTAACTCGTGATTAAAACATTTAAAAATCACTGGGCCACGTAATGAGATCTAGCAATTACTTAGATATGATTGAAATGGATTTTTCAAATAATTGTTGTTGGCTTTTAGAATTCTTACTCTGAGTGACGTTGATTAAATCTGAATAGCAGACATCTTATCAAAGTTTATTTTTGGGAGAGATTAAAGTCCAAAATGGTGGTCAAGGAAAATAACCTTTTAATTCCTATTGAAGAGATTTCAGTCCTGGTTTGCCTGTTGTAGGAAACAGAATTCCGAAGTGGGCCCTGGGGGTCCCACTCTGATGCTCACATGTCTCCCAGTTGGGCAGACCCCAGTCTCTGTTCAGCTGTAAAGGGTTTGCTCAGGTGGTTACGGCTTCAGATCGGTTCACTTTAAGGTGGGAAGATTGCCTTTGTGTTCCTGATCTAAACCAGGTGAGCTTTTAAAAAGGACCAGGCTCGTCGTGGCTAAAGGGATTCGGCTCGGCGTGTGAGAGGGATTCCACCTGAGGGAGGTTCTCTGCTGCTGCCTCTGAAGGTGGGGGGACCAGCAAGGAAACAGGGACCTAAGCTGCGCAAGCATGAGGAGCTCAATTTGACAAACAGCCTGCCTGAGTTTGGAAGCAGATTCTTCCCCAGAGCCAGCAGGTAGGAGTGTGGTGTGTTGGTGCCTTGATTTCCACCCTGTGAGGCCCTGAGTAGGGCGTGCAGCCTTGATGCGCTGGGACTGCTGACCTGCAGAACCGGAGGGGGGAGGTAAGACGTTACTCTTGTTTGAAGCTGCTAAGTTAGTGGTCATTTGGTACACGACAGTAGAAAACTAATACAGTGTTTTTGGTGGTGGTTTTTTTTTTTGTTTTTGATTTGCAGTCATGTTTATAAGAAGGGAGGAAGGAAATAAGTGGGATGCCGTCAAGAGAATGTATTTTACATTCCCCTTAGCTTCTGTTTATTTCCAGGAAAGTGGGACGGGAGGAAAAATGTATGTGCATTGTGCTAATAATACAGCATTTTTCATTGTAAAGTTAGCTTTTTGTATTTTTTCATTGCAGAAAATAGTCAACCTAGAGCATACCTGTCATAAATGGGGCTTTGTTTCTTGATAATTTAATTGTTAGTTGCACGGTGTATTTTCCAACTCAGCTATAGAAGTCCCTTGGCTTCATTTTGTTCATTGTTCGTGCAGCTGCTTCCTGGTTACATTGTTCCTCCCACTTGAGACAGTAAATGCAAGAAATGAAAAGTGATGTGTCTCAGAACCTATGGTTAATACACAACTGCTCGTTGTTAAAGTATTTTGAATACATGCAGCTTTGAATTGGGCTTCTGGAAAATGCATATTGTGCCTTCGAAATAGCCTGTTTGGCAGCCCCAACTAAAAATGTGGAATGCTTTGTATATGCTGGAAATGTGGAGATTTTTCCAAGAAATTAAGACCCCAGAAAGAATGCATGAAACCAGTGAAGAAGGCAGGTGTAAATTGTTAGCTGTTACCCATATGTTATCTTTTTGTTGTGTTGTTTGTATGCCAGTAAGGGCTTTTTTTCTTTTGGAGAATTTGGCAAAATTTACACTGTGTCCTCTGATGTCCACATTAGATTTCAGCAGTTTATTCCTGCAGGTAGACAGCATGGTTTAGATATAACATTATGTGTGTTTGTATCTGTCACATACCTTTCTTTGCATATTAAAAAAAATGATTGGGGCTCTTGTTGGAGGGTTTTGGCAGGAGAGGGAAGAACAGGGGATTTTCTTTCAGTACTGGAGGAAGAGCCATGGGATGTGTGATGCACTGTATAAGGGGAAGCTTTCAAATGGCTGACCAGGCTTGAGTCTTCATAACTTCAGCACCTGGGGCAAATGTCTCATCTGCGTGATGAAGAGATTGGACTAAACGGTGCCCTGTGTAAGGGTCTTTGCAGTTCTTAGTTCTGCGCGTCAGGCTTTTTCAAAGCGAATCAAGTTTAACATGTGAGTGTCCATTACATTAGGAAATGTGCCAGGTATCTCCATGTTTTATACCTGTTGACTCAATCCCCATAACGACCCTGTGATGTAACTGGAGGGTTAAGTGATTAACTTGCCCAAGGTCATCCACCTGGTGGGAAGTGGGAAGCCTGAGGTCTTAAATGCAGATTTTAACTTAGAATTTAGAAACTGTGCGGTAACTGCTGTAACTAGTCCCCTGTGTTGCCGTCACGTGATCCAGACATCCTGCAAGGGGGACACTCCTGTAGCAAGTCATGGCAACCACGACGCATGAGGCTTGAGTGGAAAATGGAAATTCTTTATTCCCAAGGCTTTGTTTTGTTTTAATTTATATAGACAACTTTCTCTATGCTGTTGGCTATAAAGAGCTTTTTTTTTTTTAAAAAACGACTTAGCATTTTTAAATACGTCTTTAGTGAGCTCATTGAGAAAGACACAGGTTCCATTATATGCCACCCATCTTGCTCGCTTTAATCTTCTTTTGAATGTTAACTAAATTGATACAGCTGCACATCAAAAAAGTAAGTTTCTTAGCCAGAAATTCTGTCAACCCACCCAGCCTCTGTATTCAGATCTTCCAGAGATAAATGAAACTTAATTTATCTGTGGTGAATATTGACTTTGACAAATTACTTACTGCATATTTTAATTACAGAATAACTATACTTACTTAAAACTAAATCTGTCTCTTTTAAAAACCTGATAATTTTAGTTAGCTGTGAGATCAGTGAAATAAAAAGGCTTCAGTGACATGATTAGGACCAAAATTCACGTAAAAGCTGCTTAGAATTAAGAGGAACAGGAACACACATATACCAATAGCCCTTGTCTACTTTCCATATCTACTAGTCTCACATGTTCTGAATACATCTAATTAAGTCATTGGCTACAAAACCCTGTAAACAGAATTTTGAAGTAAAATAAGTGTCAGGCTTGGGATTTGATTGTGCACTTCTTACAAGCTAACGGACGAGCATGTT